CTAATTAAAGACAATTAAGTGAAAATTTTTTGATTCACTATAATATCCTTAATAAAACAACTAATTTTTATACTTTCTCTTGTATGGTTAATGAAAATTTTAAATCTTATAATTGTTGTTGTAATAATAATTAGGGTTAATATCAAATTGCACCTCGAAAGATTATTTGAATCTCAATTTGTACCTTTAAATATCAAATATCTCAATTTATACCTTCAAAGATATAAATTTGTATCAATGTGCATCCCAAGTTAACAGCTATCAATTTACCGTCTAAAACTAAATAGATAAATCATACCTAGACCCCCTCATGATTATCACTTAATCACCTAAAATTCTGACATTTGAAATATTACACTTACATCCCTTGAGAATCTAAATATAACTAAAAATGTTCCCCCAATTGGACATTCAAATAATTCTGTTTAAGTGATGTATTGCATTAGATATAAAGAACATTATATAAATACATGTATTATATTGGATATTCAAATGATAAGTTTGATTTTGAAATTTAGAGTATAACGGGGCCACAAAATAAAAGGTAATATGAAATTATAATTTTTTATTATAATGAAATCATATTTTTAACGGTTATATTAACAGATATCAACGACAAGGGGTTATGTGTTACACATGCATAAACATTAGGAGGTGTAAGAGTAATATTTTAAATGAGGAGGGTCTAAATGATTAAGTGACAAGTATAAGGGGATCTAAGTATAATTAATCCATCAAGTTTTAGACAGTAAACTGACTGTTGTTAGTTTCAAGTGCGCATTGATATAAATTTTTATTTTTGAGGGTACAAATTAAAATTCGAATGATCTTTCAAGGTGCAATTTGAGATTAATCCAAATAATTATTTATAGCTATATCTATATGTATATACTAATAATAAAACTACGGTAATATGAAATTTTTTTAATTTACTATTANATCTGCCTTCTGAAGACGATGAAGACGATCTTCTACTATGCCTCTGGGGTGTTGTTTGCGCAAAAATAAGAGTAGCTAGCGTCTTTGCCCTGCGCGGGAGTAGCCAGCCGAACGGCGGTAATGGGAAATAGCCAGAGTGATAGCTAGTCCTCTGGAGCCCATATTTAAGGATTGATTATTTAAATCGCTAAAAAGGATGGTTTACGAAGCCCCTTGGAGTTGCTCTTATGCTCAATATTCTCTTCTTTTTTTTTTTTTTTTTTAAAGAAGAGAGTATCGGGGTGGGTTCCGTGGGCCAAGGTAGTTATGTACGGAAGCCTTGTTCTTTGACTAGTGATGACTTAATTAACGAGAGAACCTTATATTGGTTAATTTCTTTGTGAGCGATATTTTTGGGTATTATACTTTTGCTGGGTATTTTTCGGATATGTTAGACGAGATGAGAGAGACTATGTGGTAACCTGTTATCCACCATAGGTAGGGTTTACATTGCCATGAAAAGTGATATAAAGTGAAGATTTTGATTGGAAAAGAATTTATTTGTTGTTTTATTAACCAAAATTCTTAAAATTAAAGATTTTTATCTGTGCAAAAAAGGTTCGAAAAGTAATTAGAGTGGAACCCCTATTTGAGTGTGATCATCGTAACTCATACCCACAAGAAAAGTCTACTAGTAACGCCACAACGACAAAAAATCACAGACATTTCATAAACTGGCTCTCGTGCTACAAAACTGTCAATTGAAGTAGTGGGAAGGGCTGTGAATCAAACCATGTTTGCTAACTTTATAGAAGTCAGGAAGGACCCTACACAAGGTAATGTAAATCACTGGACCACAAGTTCGATTAGTCTCAACATTAATAAAGTAAAAAAGGAAAACTTCCCAATCTCTTTCCCCCTCTAATTTGATAAATTACATAGAGACACTGGCGAAAGTTAAGTATGGTCTAACAATTACTATAGGTTTTACAACCTCTAGGTTTTAATAGTGAAAATACTTGGTCCCATATAGATGTTCTTTTGTACATAGAGATGGAGTATGTGTGGATCACCCACTAAACACAGATAAAATATTATTCTATTCTTTCATGTGTAGTACTAATTGCCATCACCAACCAATTCTTTTCCTTAAAACATGGTCTTGGTAAATGAAATGTAAAAATAGAATCATAAGAATTTTATTAATTGTTCAGAAAAAAAAAAGAATTTTATTAACTTTGCATTGAAATGCATATCTATATTTATACTACTACTAATTAAAGACAATTAAGTGAAATTTTTTTGATTCACAATAATATCCTTAATAAAACAACTAATTTTTATACTTTCTCTTGTATGGTTAATGAAAATTTTAAATCTTATAATTGTTGTTGTAATAATAATTAGGGTTAATATCAAATTGCACCTCGAAAGATTATTTGAATCTCAATTTGTACCTTTAAATATCAAATATCTCAATTTATACCTTCAAAGATATAAATTTGTATCAATGTGCATCCCAAGTTAACAGCTATCAATTTACCTTCTAAAACTAAATAGATAAATCATACCTAGACCCCCTCATGATTATCACTTAATCACCTAAATTTCTGACATTTGAAATATTACACTTACATCCCTTGAGAATCTAAATATGACTAAAAATGTTCCTCCAATTGGACATTCAAATAATTCTGTTTAAGTCATGTATTGCATTAGATATAAAGAACATTATATAAATACATGTATTATATTGGATATTCAAATGATAAGTTTGATTTTGAAATTTAGAGTATAACGGGGCCACAAAATAAAAGGTAATATGAAATTATAATTTTTTATTATAATGAAATCATATTTTTAACGGTTATATTAACAGATATCAACAACAAGGGGTTATGTGTTACACATGCATAAACATTAGGAGGTGTAAGAGTAATATTTTAAATGAGGAGGGTCTAAATGATTAAATGACAAGTATAAGGGGATCTAAGTATAATTAATTCATCAAATTTTAGACAGTAAACTGACTGTTGTTAGTTTCAAGTGCGCATTGATATAAATTTTTATTTTTGAGGGTACAAATTAAAATTCGAATGATCTTTCAAGGTGCAATTTGAGATTAATCCAAATAATTATTTATAGCTATATCTATATGTATATACTAATAATAAAACTACGNTTAGGGTACAATTTGAGATTAACCCTAATAATTATTTATAGCTATATCTATCTATATCTATACTAATAATAAAAACACCTTAACATGAATTTTTTTAATTTACTATTATACCCTTATAAAAAGCTATAAATACTAATATGTTATTTTTGTACTTGTATATCAAAATCACTATTATATCGTTCTTTTTCGTTTTAATTCATTTCATAACCTATATTTATGTGTATATCTATGACCATATTACCCTTAAAAGAATATTGGTTTGAATTCTTTCATTTTTTTTTCTTTTTAAAATGTCCAGGAGTTTTTCTCTCCACAAAAGAAAATGGTTTTCTTCTCCATTATTTATTCATAATGTTTATAGTTACGAACGGGATACAAACAATAACATAGAATTTAGTGCCTCCATATTTTGGCTGTACACATTCTGGCATTGAGAATATTCAATGACTATGAATAAATGTATATCACTTCCCAATTGAACCTGAAGAATTTCAAGTCTTCCATATTTTTGGCTTATACAAGAGCANTCTTTTAAAATGTCCAAGAGTTTTTCTATCCACAAAAGAAAATGGTTTTCTTCTCCATTATTTATTCATAATGTTTATAGTTACGAACGGGATACAAACAATAACATAGAATTTAGTGCCTCCATATTTTGGCTGTACACATTCTGGCATTGAGAATATTCAATGACTATGAATAAATGTATATCACTTCCCAATTGAACCTGAAGAATTTCAAGTCTTCCATATTTTTGGCTTATACAAGAGCACAATTAGTCTTTCCATTTATTGTTTTTAAATCAACTTCCTTATTTTTGCAACAGGAACAAAGCTAATATACAAAGTGGAGCAGTGGGTATCCTCTAAGTTGCAATTGCAGTGGAGGTCCTACTTTGGTCACACTTATGGGATACATTTCTGCTGGTTTTGCATTCGAGTGTGTGCTTGTGGAAATCCAATTCTTGGGTATTTGGTTCCTATTTATGGTTTTGTTTTAGGTTTTGTAAGATCATTGTCTTTCTTTGTTGTTTTACTTCAACTTGAAAGGGAAAATACAAACATTATACAAATCTAGAATTGACATGAATAAATTGACGCTAAAAATTTTGTCCCAAACAAAAATAGAAACAATTCACACGAATGAAAATTGTACTCTTAACACTTGATTCTAGTTAGAACATCGGAATTGTATTGTATATTATATTCTATTCATAAGAATGTTTTATTTCGACATTCATTCCATTCACGAGTATTTTATTTTCATGATTCATTCCATTTCCACTAAAACAATCTCAAGTTGNCAACATTCATTCCATTCACACGAGTATTTTATTTTCATGATTCATTCCATTTCCACTAAAACAATCTCAAGTTGCATGATTTATTTACAAAGCACCCAGTCCCCTACTCATCTTCTTTGTGCACCAGCTTTCTAATAGAACATTATTGAACCCAAAGAATCAGCATTAAGAACTTCAGTTGTAGGCATAAGCACATATAGATTTGGGCATATAATTGAAGAATCCAAAAGACATGTACATTCAAATTCAGTTCAAATTAGAAACTTACTCAAACATCAAGTCCTTTAATTATTTGTAAATATTACATTCTCCATAGCTTGATCAACACACACAAACACACATCAAACCCAACTGACTATACTCATGTTTTACCAACATGACAGGTAACCAGGAAACCAAACAAACATCCACACAAAATGAAATTGAAAATAGTACTTAACCATATGCCTCTAGTTCTACATGGCTTTAAGAACCATGCAAACAGGCAGCAAATGGACTTGAAACCCCATTAGATTCACGCACAAACTCCTTCATTAGTGCTGTTAGGAAAGGAGATTTGAGTGGCATTTGGGCATTTCCAGCAGCGAACGATATAGAGAATAGCTCAACGGTGAAGGAAATTTAGACGACCATGTTTGGCCGCTCAAATGAAAAACATCTCGTTCTCGAGGTCTGGGTGAAGTTTGTAGAACCTCTCATCAAATGAAGCAGCTGAAGTCGAAGATGATGATGGTGAACCAGAGGATGAAGATGCGGCTGAAGCATGAGACTGCAACTCCACTGCCACCTCTTGATATTCACGTCCCCTGAACGCAACAAGGTCAGCATAGTAAACTGGAGGGACAAGCGAGACAGGCTTGGTGCATCGTGCAAAGGTGAAGCACAAGTGATATGTGAGCTTCTGTAATTGGTCAGACGTAAATTTGTGCTCATCCCAGAGGACACAGTAGTGCGTCGGCTTGCTTGTCCCGAGGGTTCCATAACAGCTGCAAAGATAGAAATCAAATTGAAAAGGATGACAAATTGTTGTATCTATAACTGTTCCTGGAGGCACGTTACCAGATGCACCCCCATCCCTCTCATTCTCAAGAAACAGTCGAGTCTGGTGTCGCTTCTGGGCAGTAACAAGAGTGATTGTTGGGTGGTAATCTTCGGTGCATATAGCCCTCTTTATATCAAGTAATTCTTCGTTAAGAACCATTTCAAATTGGCCTTCACTTACCCCATCACGAAATATAAGAATTTTTGTTGGCTTGGTTTTGTTAAGCCGATCATAGGTGTTGATTAGATCCAAACACATGGTCCCAAAATTCAGAATCTTCTCCTTTCGGTGTTCCTGGGGACGAACCCTTGCAGCATAACGATTGGCAGCTGGATTCATTGTCGCAACAACCGCGGCGATTGATGGACATGTTGCATTCCACGCATCAGGGTGATTGACATCTGCCCCCACAAGCATAACATGTTCTTCACCCTCAAAACAGGGGAGTCGTTCAATTAGTTCGACATTACTACCCCCAAGCTTGGCATTAATCTTGAGAGAAACCTTAGCATAACACTGATCATTCCCTTTGTTGGCATAACTGGACAAGCAACATTGAGTCAATACCCCAATCTGAGTCTCAGAGACCCATTTAAGATACTTTTTTCCAGGATGCTTCATGGTCATCACANCTTTTACTAACTTAACTGTCAATATATAGGAGCGGCTCTTCATCTCTTCCCTGCGAGACAATTCCACCTTGAAATTCCCCGTGGGCAATGGCACAGCACTGTAAATGTTCTTCTTGCCATCAAAAGTAGTCATGTTCNTACTTTTTTCCAGGATGCTTCACGGTCATCACACAAACAATAATTTGTAACCGGCCCTTGCATTTCCCATTAGCCTCCTTAACCACACTTGCAAGAAGTTCTTGAATTGCTCCGACACCAGAGAATTCATGCATGCCAGTGAAACGGCACAAAACAGGTTCCTCCATGCAGACGCCTAGACTTCTACATCTATTTCTAAGATTCTGAATGAAAACACCAGAATTCAGTTTATTATAACGATCATCTGAACTGCAATCTATCAAGGCCCATCGCTTGACTGGCTTGCCTTCCACCACAGATTTACCAACGAGGTTATATTGACAGTCCTCCCTGTCAACTCTTACCATATTCCCATTGCCAACTTTTAAAGTAGGTGGTTCAATGACACGACCAAGTTCTCTTGTCATGGTAGTGTCAACTACAATTCCAAAATTTTGAGCAACATCTCTGCAAGACCACAAAAAGGGATTGACATTTGCATTATCAACAACATGAAAATCAACACAATATTTTACTACATAAGCGTGGAGGATTAAGTAAAATTGTGCTAAAAAATGAAGAGGCTCAACATAAAACTACCACATAATATTTTACGCTAAAAATATCTTGTTAAAAAACAATTTAGAGAAGCAACCAAACTACTGTGCAACAAATTATGCTGAAATATAGAGGCTTAAGTGAAAATACATACCCACAAGGTCCATCTTCAGCCTGCACCATCTCACAGATAATGTTTTTCCTTTGTGGAGGCGTTAATTTTTCCTTCAATAACAGGCGTGAGTCTCTATCCAAGTCCTCCTTCGGGTACCTTTGCCCCTCCACCAAAGTACAGAATTCCATAGGCACATAATTTTTTCGATCACATCTCCGCAAGTCTAGACAGGGAATATCCTTGTACATAATTTCCGTCCTATATTTCTCCCTGAAATATTGGATAAGACCAATTTCCCTTGGTGGATGCTTCCCCTCTGGATCTTCAAGAATGAATTTAAGATCTCCTGTATTTTGACTGCTTAACCCTGCTATAATATACTTCTGTGTGGTGTTGCGGTGAGTTACATAAACTTTCAATCCTTTTATTGCACTTGTCACTTCTCTTTTCCACTTTCTGATGTCACTTACTTCTCGGAAACCCCGAAAATGCTCCATAAGGAAGTCTATGACCGGCAATCGTTTACGCAATGCCATAACTGAAGAGTCCAAACATAAGCCTGGACGCTGGGAGGTGAGCTTTATGCTATGTTGAGAGCCTCTAAACGCTGCAATGCCACACCCGAGGTCATCTTCTGCCCTGAACTCTTTGCAATAAAAGCTGCACCCAACAGAGATCCTATGCCTACACGGATTCTCATTCATTATCAAATCCATCCCCTGTAGTATATCACGAGGGATACACGAAAGGTTTCCGCTCAAGTAATCCTCTAGCGTGTTAAACTTCAGCTCGTTTACTAACTTAACTGTCAATATATAGGAGCGGCTCTTCATCTCTTCCCTGCGAGACAATTCCACCTTGAAATTCCCCGTGGGCAATGGCACAGCACTGTAAATGTTCTTCTTGCCATCAAAAGTAGTCATGTTCAGAGGAAATCGCATTGGATCATCAGAGAATAGTTTGTCCTTTATCAAACGCAGAACAGATTTCGAAATTGATTTCTTTGCAGAACAATTGTGTGGGGACATATCTGGTTTAACATCCACGTCATAGTGGAATACCGTCCTCTCTGGATCAAAACTGACAGGAAAATGGTTGACGAGAAGCCTTACCTGCCTGATTGCAAGCTTGCCCCCATTGTCAGGCCGTTTTATGGGCATAAGTTTTTTCTCTCTACCATCCAGAATAGTTGATGGAGGCTTCTGCTCTGAAATTTCCAATGATTGGATATTTGGAATAACATGAGCTGTGCAGAAAAATAAAACAACCACTGAACTTTATAAACCCACAATCAAGCCTATGACCATACATACACATTATATCCGAGGCATAAAAACATATACGTGCACTTTCATGTCGACACAAAATCTTCAAGCCAATCAAAATACAAAAAGATCAATAAGCTTTGATTATGTTATAATCAAAGATCAAAATTTTGTTCTAATGCATTGTTCTTTTTAATTTATAATCTATGTCTATCACCATCATTTCCATTAAAAGTTGTGAACAAAAATTCTTGAACCATCAATAACAGTTGACACTAAATACTTTTCTTTTTAATTTCATATCAAAGTAATGATTTTCATTTTCAACAAAACAAATACCTACCCAATCTTGCAAACCAGTAATAGACCTAAACCAATAAATCATGATCAATTTGTTGGACTAACGCAGAATTTTAGTTATAAAATCTGATTTTTGGCCGACTTTGAACATAAATTAAAGTAGGATATGCTCATCGTTTCGAATAAACTTTCGTGAATTTGTGTAATGTTCAATTCATTTATTTATTGCAGCGTTACATGTTAGTATGGTACTATTTTTCCTTGCATGTTCCTGCTTTGCTAATTATTACATAAGCATATTTACGTGTTTCTATTTAGCGTATTTCTAAATTTAATATCATTCCAGAAATCTTAATAAGTAATTTTGTTATATTGAAGAATCCACACCAACACAATTTACTTGAAAAACAATGAAACCATCATCATAGAATGGATAAATAAATTTCTAAATCTGAAAGTCTTTGTTTTCTTCTCAAAAATTCATGCTATGCAAACCTACTACATTCAATCCCCCCCCCAAAAAAAAAAAACAAACAAACAAACAAACAAAAATTAAATAAAATAAATAGAGTAATGCTATGCTACACAAATATTTACCCAAATTTTGTATCTCAAATCAATGCAGGTGGTTGGATTAGTAGGGTCCACTAACTCCACTAAATATTCAATGCATGGAATTTTGACACATCACTTGGGATACAAAATTTGTACAACAATTTATGCAATATAACTTTATCCTAATAAATAAATAATAAAAACCTCTTTAGAAAAAAACGAAAATAAACATGCTAACTTTATGGTGGTCGTACACGCTTATCAACTCACAAAAACACGATAACCAACATTTACACATCGCCCCAGTTGCGCTAAAACTCTTTCAGAATAAACATATAGCCTATCCATGTTCCACACACACGTGATTATCAATGGGTTGTGTGTCGTCTTGAGTATTACCATGTCGTATCAAAGTTTACCCACACTAATACCCAATTTAGCTATAATCATTTTTAGTTGGTTATGTGCCAATTTCATGCCCAGTAGAAATTATTGCTCATACCCTATTTAACTCTAATCGACCCATTTGAGTCTAATCAGACGAGCCTAGATTCATACCAGACCTGAGCCCAAATCATGGGTTGAGCCCAAATCATGGGTTGAGCCCAAACCATTAAAAAACAAACCAAACTGTAGCCCAAGGCTACAGTTTAGTCTAAAACTCAAGAGTTCGGAGAGAGTCAACGCTCATGGGATAGTCATTCCTCTAAGGTAGTACCTTAGTAACTTGACCTTTACGTCACCATCACAGCTAGGGCTCTGTGCCTATAAATTATAAATCCCCCACACATATTGACTGATCTCACACATCTCACCTTGAACATACTATTGCGCACTCGTACTCTGTACTATTTCATTAATAATATTCTCTGACCACCTTGGTTAGATCGCCAGACCCAACCACCCAAAAATTATTTCTTGTCGTTAACTGTTTTATTAATTGTTTTATTCCATACATAAATTCACTTTTGTGCAATATCCCAACCATTTACCACCGGCTAAAGCTAACTATCATAAACATGCTAATTCATCAATCTCACTATGACACATACATATTCAAAGTAAAATGTAAACAAAAAAGTTAAGAGGTATACCAGGCAAAGACCCAGGTTGGGATTGACCAGGCACAAAAGTGGGTCCCCTAGGCCTCCAAGTCCACACTCCTCTTCCACCATCCGCTCCTCCTCCTCCACCAACCACACAACCTTCACTTGATTCCACCCTTGTAGGCCCCACACCCTGACCACTCTGTTGATGTGGCCTGTACGCGCCACCACCTTGACCTCTTTGATGCGGCCTATTACCCCGCTGCTGATCACCGGTCTGGATGGGAACCCAACCCCTACCTATTCCTCTTCCACCACCACCACTTTGATACTGACCCTGCTGATGGTGTTGGTTACGTGGGTAATTCCCACCTCTGCCACCACCGCCACCACGATTACTTCCGGTGCCGCCGCGACCACGGCCAGAGCCGCCACTTCCTTGATTGTCGCTACTCCTCTCCATTGAAACTGCTACGATAAAAGACTTTCTTCAGTTCTCACTACCGAATCAAACTGGAGAGTCGAAGACTTTCTTCAGTCCGGTGTGCGGTGCTTTAAATAGATGAAGGTGTGTGTGAAATGACACAAATAGCCTTTCGTGGTGACCAAGTATGGAGCAGTGCTCGTAATTTAGGAAAAAAAATAAAATATCAAAAGCATCTCCGACTATGACTCAAATTTTTATTCAAATTTAAATTAATATTTGAGTAAAAAGCTTGATTTGATATAAAAGACTCCGATGACCAAACTCAAATTTAAAGAAGGAGAAATTTAAATTTAAATGAGAATAAACTCAAATTTAAAAAGGAGTAAGAATGATCATTAAATATTTAAAAGATGATGAAATCTCACCATTAAATATTTAAATAAAAAATTGAGTCTTTCTTGATTTGGTATAAATTTGAGTCAAGGTTAGAACAAGTTTTTTAGACTTTTTTTACTCAAATTAAAATTTGAATCTAAATTTGAATAAGGATTAGAGACGCCCTAAGTAGGTGAATCTTATTTATTTTAGTATTTTATGTGTTATATCATTTAATAATTACTCAAGTGTAATTCACTTTACTCATTTGTAAATTTATTATTTGATGATGATATCACTTGTCAATGATAATGAAATGTCAATGTTACATCCAATATTTACTCGTAATTTAGAAATATTATTTTATTTATTAACACAACACAACACGAAATCTAAAAATAGAAATATCAATTAACACGAATAATAAATGAATCAAAATAAAGATTAGACATTGATAATACGATTGATATTGCAAATAAAAAATAAATATTTTATAATTTTTTAAAATTATTTTCTTAGTATCATATGAGTTTGGACTCGACTCATTTTTTAAACAAGTCGAATTTGAACAATATTTTAGACTCCTTGAAAAAAAGAACTTGACAGACTCGAATCAAAATTCACAAAACTCGATTCGACTCGATTAAGTACCATAATTATGGCCTTAGTAATTCATTGGGGGTATCAGACAACTCCAAGTGGGGTGGTTCCTTTTCCATCCCCCATTTGTTTAATATAACCTATAAATTAAAAAACCAAAGCTATAACTCTTTCTTCAACTATTTTTTTTATTTTTGAGTCCATGTTAATTAGTTATTAACATAAATTATTAATTTATGTAGTGGGAGAATCTGGGGAAATCCAGAAGGTTCGATGACTTTGGGTAACCAATGTGAATGGGGAACAAAAAAGGAGCATTGTGGTTAGGAAACTTTGGGTGAAGTTAGTTATGTACGGAAAGCCTTGCGTTTTGGCCAGGTTCTGACTTAGCGAGGACCTTATTTGTTACTTTTTGTGCAAGTAACATTTGTGGGGATACTTTGATTCGTACTAACCACCTATAATTGTGGATCATCGGCTCCTTGTCTCTGTGTTTAATAGATTCACAAGCTTACAACATATATACACCCATTAATTTCGAGCCAATTTCGTGTTAAATTAGCTAATTGTATTTGGAATTGTGAGTCACACCTTGAACACATTCATATTCGCATTAAGATATAAAGAAATAAGTTAAGAGGAATACTAGGATTCGTTTGATCAGGAACTCTCTGAGACGGAGACGGAGACGGAGACGGAGACTGAACAGACCCACCACTCTGACCTTTGTGAACGGGGTAATTACCCCGCTGCTGACCACCGATCTGGGTAGGAACCCAAACCCGTCCTCTTCCGCCAACACTACCTCCTTGATACTGACCCTCCTGATGGTACTGGTGTCGTGGGTAATTCCCACCTCTACCACCGCCGCCGCCCCGACCATGGCCAGAGCCACCACTTCCACGGTTGTCGCTACCTCTCTCCATTGAGTCAGCAAAAACAAAAGATTTTCTTCGGTGCTCTCACTGCTCAAGTAAACTGGATACTTTGGGAGTAGTTGGGTTGCTGTGCTTTAATATAGATCAACGTGGGTGTGAAATGACGGAAATGGCCTTTCGTGGTGACCAAGTGTGCTNCAAATAAATAAATAATAAAAACCTCTTTAGAAAAAAACGAAAATAAACATGCTAACTTTATAGTGATCTTACACACTTATCAACTCACAAAAACACGATAACCAACATTTACACATCACCCCAGTTGCGCTAAAACTCTTTCAGAATAAACATATAGCCTATCCATGTTCCACACACACGTGATTATCAATGGGTTGTGTGTCGTCTTGAGTATTACCATGTCGTATCAAAGTTTACCCACACTAATACCCAATTTAGCTATAATCATTTTTAGTTGGTTATGTGTCAATTTCATGCCCGGTAGAAATTATTGCTCATACCCTATTTAACTCTAATCGACCCATTTGAGTCTAATCAGACGAGCCTAAATTCATACCAGACCTGAGCCCAAATCATGGGTTGCGCCCAAACCATTAAAAAACAAACCAAATTGTAGCCCAAGGCTACAGTTTAGTCCAAAACTCAAGAGTTCAGGGAGAGTCAACGCTCATGGGATAGTAATTATCGGGATAGTCATTCCTCCAAGGTAGTGCCTTAGTAACTTGACCTTTACGTCACCGTCACAGCTAGGGCCCTGTGCCTATAAATTATAAATCCCCCACACATATTGACTGATCTCACACATCTCACCTTGAACATATTATTGCGCACTCGTACTCTGTACTATTTCATTAATAATATTCTCTAACCACCTTGGTTAGATCGCCAGACCCAACCACCCAATTATTATTTCTTGTCGTTAACTGTTTTATTAATTGTTTTATTCCATACATAAATCCACTTTTGTGCAATATCCCAACCATTTACCACCGGCTAAAGCTAACTATCATAAACATGCTAATTCATCAATCTCACTATGACACATACATATTCAAAGTAAAATGTAAACAAAAAAGTTAAGAGGTATACCAGGCAAAGACCCAGGTTGGGATTGACCAGGCACAAAAGTGGGTCCCCTAGGCCTCCAAGTCCACACTCCTCTTCCACCATCCGCTCCTCCTCCTCCACCAACCACACAACCTTCACTTGATTCCACCCTTGTAGGCCCCACACCCTGACCACTCTGTTGATGTGGCCTGTACGCGCCACCACCTTGACCTCTTTGATGCGGCCTATTACCCCGCTGCTGATCACCGGTCTGGATGGGAACCCAACCCCTACCTACTCCTCTTCCACCACCACCACTTTGATACTGACCCTGCTGATGGTGTTGGTTACGTGGGTAATTCCCACCTCTGCCACCACCGCCACCACGATTACTTCCGGTGCCGCCGCGACCACGGCCAGAGCCGCCACTTCCTTGATTGTCGCTACTCCTCTCCATTGAAACTGCTACGATAAAAGACTTTCTTCAGTTCTCACTACCGAATCAAACTGGAGAGTCGAAGACTTTCTTCAGTCCGGTGTGCGGTGCTTTAAATAGATGAAGGTGTGTGTGAAATGACACAAATAGCCTTTCGTGGTGACCAAGTATGGAGCAGTGCTCGTAATTTAGGAAAAAAAATAAAATATCAAAAGCATCTCCGACTATGACTCAAATTTTTATTCAAATTTAAATTAATATTTGAGTAAAAAGCTTGATTTGATATAAAAGACTCCGATGACCAAACTCAAATTTAAAGAANTTTATAAACCCACAATCAAGCCTATGACCATACATACACATTATATCCGAGGCATAAAAACATATACGTGCACTTTCATGTCGACACAAAATCTTCAAGCCAATCAAAATACAAAAAGATCAATAAGCTTTGATTATGTTATAATCAAAGATCAAAATTTTGTTCTAATGCATTGTTCTTTTTAATTTATAATCTATGTCTATCACCATCATTTCCATTAAAAGTTGTGAACAAAAATTCTTGAACCATCAATAACAGTTGACACTAAATACTTTTCTTTTTAATTTCATATCAAAGTAATGATTTTCATTTTCAACAAAACAAATACCTACCCAATCTTGCAAACCAGTAATAGACCTAAACCAATAAATCATGATCAATTTGTTGGACTAACGCAGAATTTTAGTTATAAAATCTGATTTTTGGCCGACTTTGAACATAAATTAAAGTAGGATATGCTCATCGTTTCGAATAAACTTTCGTGAATTTGTGTAATGTTCAATTCATTTATTTATTGCAGCGTTACATGTTAGTATGGTACTATTTTTCCTTGCATGTTCCTGCTTTGCTAATTATTACATAAGCATATTTACGTGTTTCTATTTAGCGTATTTCTAAATTTAATATCATTCCAGAAATCTTAATAAGTAATTTTGTTATATTGAAGAATCCACACCAACACAATTTACTTGAAAAACAATGAAACCATCATCATAGAATGGATAAATAAATTTCTAAATCTGAAAGTCTTTGTTTTCTTCTCAAAAATTCATGCTATGCAAACCTACTACATTCAATCCCCCCCCCAAAAAAAAAAAACAAACAAACAAACAAACAAAAATTAAATAAAATAAATAGAGTAATGCTATGCTACACAAATATTTACCCAAATTTTGTATCTCAAATCAATGCAGGTGGTTGGATTAGTAGGGTCCACTAACTCCACTAAATATTCAATGCATGGAATTTTGACACATCACTTGGGATACAAAATTTGTACAACAATTTATGCAATATAACTTTATCCTAATAAATAAATAATAAAAACCTCTTTAGAAAAAAACGAAAATAAACATGCTAACTTTATGGTGGTCGTACACGCTTATCAACTCACAAAAACACGATAACCAACATTTACACATCGCCCCAGTTGCGCTAAAACTCTTTCAGAATAAACATATAGCCTATCCATGTTCCACACACACGTGATTATCAATGGGTTGTGTGTCGTCTTGAGTATTACCATGTCGTATCAAAGTTTACCCACACTAATACCCAATTTAGCTATAATCATTTTTAGTTGGTTATGTGCCAATTTCATGCCCAGTAGAAATTATTGCTCATACCCTATTTAACTCTAATCGACCCATTTGAGTCTAATCAGACGAGCCTAGATTCATACCAGACCTGAGCCCAAATCATGGGTTGNAATAGAAATATCAATTAACACGAATAATAAATGAATCAAAATAAAGATTAGACATTGATAATACGATTGATATTGCAAATAAAAAATAAATATTTTATAATTTTTTAAAATTATTTTCTTAGTATCATATGAGTTCTACTTGAGTTTGGACTCGACTCATTTTTTAAACAAGTCGAATTTGAACAATATTTTAGACTCCTTGAAAAAAAGAACTTGACAGACTCGAATCAAAATTCACAAAACTCGATTCGACTCGATTAAGTACCATAATTATGGCCTTAGTAATTCATTGGGGGTATCAGACAACTCCAAGTGGGGTGGTTCTAAATGTTCCTTTTCCATCCCCCATTGTTTAATATAACCTATAAATTAAAAAACCAAAGCTATAACTCTTTCTTCAACTATTTTTTTTATTTTTGAATCCATGTTAATTAGTTATTAACATAAATTATTAATTTATGTAGTGGGAGAATCTGGGGAAATCCAGAAGGTTCGATGACTTTGGGTAACCAATGTGAATGGGGAACAAAAAAGGAGCATTGTGGTTAGGAAACTTTGGGTGAAGTTAGTTATGTACGGAAAGCCTTGCGTTTTGGCCAGGTTCTGACTTAGCGAGGACCTTATTTGTTACTTTTTGTGCAAGTAACATTTGTGGGGATACTTTGATTCGTACTAACCACCTATAATTGTGGATCATCGGCTCCTTGTCTCTGTGTTTAATAGATTCACAAGCTTACAACATATATACACCCATTAATTTCGAGCCAATTTCGTGTTAAATTAGCTAATTGTATTTGGAATTGTGAGTCACACCTTGAACACATTCATATTCGCATTAAGATATAAAGAAATAAGTTAAGAGGAATACTAGGATTCGTTTGATCAGGAACTCTCTGAGACGGAGACGGAGACGGAGACGGAGACTGAACAGACCCACCACTCTGACCTTTGTGAACGGGGTAATTACCCCGCTGCTGACCACCGATCTGGGTAGGAACCCAAACCCGTCCTCTTCCGCCAACACNGTGCCGCCGCGACCACGGCCAGAGCCGCCACTTCCTTGATTGTCGCTACTCCTCTCCATTGAAACTGCTACGATAAAAGACTTTCTTCAGTTCTCACTACCGAATCAAACTGGAGAGTCGAAGACTTTCTTCAGTCCGGTGTGTGGTGCTTTAAATAGATGAAGGTGTGTGTGAAATGACACAAATAGCCTTTCGTGGTGACCAAGTATGGAGCAGTGCTCGTAATTTAGGAAAAAAAATAAAATATCAAAAGCATCTCCGACTATGACTCAAATTTTTATTCAAATTTAAATTAATATTTGAGTAAAAAGCTTGATTTGATATAAAAGACTCCGATGACCAAACTCAAATTTAAAGAAGGAGAAATTTAAATTTAAATGAGAATAAACTCAAATTTAAAAAGGAGTAAGAATGATCATTAAATATTTAAAAGATGATGAAATCTCACCATTAAATATTTAAATAAAAAATTGAGTCTTTCTTGATTTGGTATAAATTTGAGTCAAGGTTAGAACAAGTTTTTTAGACTTTTTTTACTCAAATTAAAATTTGAATCTAAATTTGAATAAGGATTAGAGACGCCCTAAGTAGGTGAATCTTATTTATTTTAGTATTTTATGTGTTATATCATTTAATAATTACTCAAGTGTAATTCACTTTACTCATTTGTAAATTTATTATTTGATGATGATATCACTTGTCAATGATAATGTAATGTCAATGTTACATCCAATATTTACTCGTAATTTAGAAATATTATTTTATTTATTAACACAACACAATACGAAATCTAAAAATAGAAATATCAATTAACACGAATAATAAATGAATCAAAATAAAGATTAGACATTGATAATACGATTGATATTGCAAATAAAAAATAAATATTTTATAATTTTTTAAAATTATTTTCTTAGTATCATATGAGTTCTACTTGAGTTTGGACTCGACTCATTTTTTAAACAAGTCGAATTTGAACAATATTTTAGACTCCTTGAAAAAAAGAACTTGACAGACTCGAATCAAAATTCACAAAACTCGATTCGACTCGATTAAGTACCATAATTATGGCCTTAGTAATTCATTGGGGGTATCAGACAACTCCAAGTGGGGTGGTTCTAAATGTTCCTTTTCCATCCCCCATTGTTTAATATAACCTATAAATTAAAAAACCAAAGCTATAACTCTTTCTTCAACTATTTTTTTTATTTTTGAATCCATGTTAATTAGTTATTAACATAAATTATTAATTTATGTAGTGGGAGAATCTGGGGAAATCCAGAAGGTTCGATGACTTTGGGTAACCAATGTGAATGGGGAACAAAAAAGGAGCATTGTGGTTAGGAAACTTTGGGTGAAGTTAGTTATGTACGGAAAGCCTTGCGTTTTGGCCAGGTTCTGACTTAGCGAGGACCTTATTTGTTACTTTTTGTGCAAGTAACATTTGTGGGGATACTTTGATTCGTACTAACCACCTATAATTGTGGATCATCGGCTCCTTGTCTCTGTGTTTAATAGATTCACAAGCTTACAACATATATACACCCATTAATTTCGAGCCAATTTCGTGTTAAATTAGCTAATTGTATTTGGAATTGTGAGTCACACCTTGAACACATTCATATTCGCATTAAGATTTAAAGAAATAAGTTAAGAGGAATACTAGGATTCGTTTGATCAGGAACTCTCTGAGACGGAGACGGAGACGGAGACGGAGACTGAACAGACCCACCACTCTGACCTTTGTGAACGGGGTAATTACCCCGCTGCTGACCACCGATCTGGGTAGGAACCCAAACCCGTCCTCTTCCGCCAACACTACCTCCTTGATACTGACCCTCCTGATGGTACTGGTGTCGTGGGTAATTCCCACCTCTACCACCGCCGCCGCCCCGACCATGGCCAGAGCCACCACTTCCACGGTTGTCGCTACCTCTCTCCATTGAGTCAGCAAAAACAAAAGATTTTCTTCGGTGCTCTCACTGCTCAAGTAAACTGGATACTTTGGGAGTAGTTGGGTTGCTGTGCTTTAATATAGATCAACGTGGGTGTGAAATGACGGAAATGGCCTTTCGTGGTGACCAAGTGTGCTGGACTAGTGCCTGTCGACGTGTCATTTGGGAGAATCCGGGAAATTCCAGAAGGGGTTTGCCTTTGTGAGGTGGTGAAGAAAGTGAGAGAAGAGACGGAGCAATTGATGAAGTAGGATAACCCGCAAGCTACTTCAAGTGATAATAAGAGAAGGATTAAATTTTTAACTTGAATTTTGATAATATCATAAGATTAGATCATTATAAATTTATTTTTTATGAATATATTAATCTAAGTGTGATTCACCTAAATGACTTATTTTTAACAAACTAAAAAAAAAAAAAAAATTTGAGATGCACGTAAATTAATTTGAATATTTTTTACTGTTGAACCAAAAATAAAAAATAAAAATTGATGAAGTAAGTCTCTAATCTTTGTAGTATAATATTTTGATGGGGTTAAACTTATTTTTTTCCCACTTGAAATATGCAGTGAAATTTTAACTTCAACTCAGTGCAATAAAATTTATCATAAATAATTATATAATGCTAAAAAATAATATTCTCCAACGAAGATGTATAGTGATATATTTATATGTCCATTTTTAAGCACCAAAAAAAAGTAAGGGTTAGACTTTGTGAGGGGGTGAAGAAAGTGAAAGGAAATAATCAGAGTAACTGATGAAGTACGGATGTGTTAGGGTATTAAAAAAATTGGTGCTAATTTTTTTATTTTTTTTCTAATTAAAATAGGATAAATGTAAAATTTATATTTTATATTTTATTTTATTGTTATATGATCATCGATAAAACGATTGAAACAAAATAAAATTGCACCTACTATTGTCGTGCTATTAATTACTGGTTCAAAATGACCTTATAATTACCTTTGGTGAATGTGTATCATTTATTTTCTATTGACATTGACAAATATTAGCTATAAATGAAAATATCAAAACTAAAATTTACAGTTATTTTTTCTTCTAAATACGTACATCAATATTTAAATCAAAGGAATTGTTTGAGAACTAATTCCGTATTTTTGTCATTCGTTGGGCTTATTTTCATATTAATTTGTTATTAACACCACATGGGCTTGTTTTGATAGATTTTTGAGAAAGATTTGGATTGGCTTCCCTAAACTGAAACCCGTCTTTATAAAGATGGAATTCAACATTGAATCTTGTCTATATCAATGTTTGGTATGCAACACATACACATATAAGATCTATGGATATTTCAGAATTATTAACAACTATTTATCCCGTAAATGACTATTTTAGTTTTGATCAATCTAATTCATACTCATATTAAGAGGTATAATTTTTTTTTTGAATTCTTAATCTCTTAACCATCTTCCCAAACTCACTCTCCTCTTAGGTTTGACCAAACTCACGGTCACGAGTTTAATATTCGGGTCAACTACGGATTTGATTTGAAAACTCAAGATTAAATTTTTAATTCAAATATGAAATTTGAGGATTCTTTAAACCATTTTTTTCAAACTCATCTTGTCAAACCGCTCGTACCCTTCACCAAACAGCCCTGGTGTTAATTTTTGCGTTGGACAGTCTGGAGAATTCCAGAAAGTTGGATGAAAAGAGTGGATGGCGAAAGTGCGCGGAAGAGACGGAACAATTTCTGAGAAGTAGTGTCATAAATTGGTAAAGTGATGTCATTGGTTCTTACTTCTTATAATATTTTTATTTTATGTATTATTTATTCTTTTTTTTTTATATTACAATCAGAGAGAATATTCAGACTAATTTATCCAAATCTTGGTCGATCATTTCTCTAATTCGGTCAAAAATAAATCATTCATATTGGGACTAAAAAATTTATGAGCGATAAATTTTTTATGGACCCAACAATCCCAACAAATTGTTCAATGACCCAATTGAATAAAAATTCTGAGTACAACACTAATTATATTTGACTCTAGTTTCGTTCATGCATATAAAGTTTAGATGGAATTCGTGTAATCCTTCTCAAATCTCATAATGACAAAAATTTTGTATAATCTTATTTATTTAATAAATTGTCTCAAATATTATTAACAGTAATTTAACCGACATAAAGTCACATGAAATATTCGAGGCTTTCAAGATTAATGTTGCTGCAACAATTTCGTGGAAGTTGTATCTTTTCTTTGGAAGCTTAGTGTTGCTGCGTCAACGTCTTTTACGAGAAGTCTAAAAAAGTTAAGCCACATAGATCATAAACTATTGAGCATAACTATTATTTTTTTTCTCATTTTTTTTTGTGGGGGTTGGGAGAAGGAATTTTTTTTTTTTTTTTGAGAGAAACGGTAGAAATTTGATTAAATAGGAGCATCCAAGAGGAAAAGGGGCACTATGAAAGTTGATACCTCCTTCTCCCATATAGCCACGCCATCAACAATAATAGTATGTCTAGCTAGCTTATGAACTACCTTATTTTCTGTTTTTCTAGCTATGGATACAAAATAATAGCAAAGAGTATGTAGACTAATCCTGATATTTGCTAAAACAAAGTCCAACGGATCAAACTCACTTTCGACATCTGTGAGTATCTTCATTACGTTAATTGAATCCCCTTTCAAGACAATTCCATCACAGCCTTGTTGCACAGCAAAGTGGACAGCCTCCCTAGAAGCTAAAATTTCTATTGTTTGTGCCACACAAGGGGAGATGACTTTCCTACACAAGCCAGCAGCAAAGGTACCTCATTCATCTCTTATTACCATGCCTGCTCCATTTGCTCCTTCTACCTCGAACACGGCCCCATCAAAATTAACCTTTAAAGAGCCTATACTTGGGGGAACCACATAGACATTGCGTCTACTGTTGCTGGTGCCAAAGCGCTGGAGTCCACTGCTTGTTCGTACCGTGCAATATAATCAGTTGACATATAACTTATTAACGCAGGGTCCTTCTTCAAATTCTGACATAACACTTCATTTCTATTCGTCCAAATTAACCAATAATTGACCAAAAATAGGGAGAATTGACGTAGATTCATCTGTTGTGACATTTCCCACAATCAACTATAGATTTGGCTTGTTGTATGCTGCATAAGATAGTTTAGTTTACTGGATTCCCATGATTCGTTGGCCCAAGTACATTCTTTCACCATATGCAGCACAATTTCAAATTTATTTCCACAAACACAACACATGTCATCCGTCTAAATCCTCCTTCACATAAGATTTTCATTAGTAGGGAGAGTGTTAGTCGCCATTCTCCAAGCGCATATTTTAATTTTATCTGGTAACTTCTAATTCCCAATGAATTTTCAATTGTTATGTTCGAAACCTGATGATGAAGAAGCATCTTCAGGATTCATTGGGCAAGCTAGAGTTCAATCAAATGCAATATGATATGCACTTCGAACAGAAAATCTACCCTTCGAATCGTAATGTCATATGAGCTTATCTACCATGAATGAGGAACCCAAGGGTATTCACCTAATCGTCTATGCTTCATGACTTAGAAAAACTTCATTGATCAAACTTTCCTTCCACTGATGAGTTGTTGAATCAATAAGATCATTGATTGTGGCCTCGTCATGCAAAGTATTCTTGGGAGTAACAACCTTAAAAGTCGTTGGAGTAGGAATCCACCTATCTTGCCAAACTTTTATTTTGGATCCATCCCCAATCCTCCATCAAGATCCAGCTTCTAAAACTCTCCTGGTTCAAAAATGCTTCTCCAAGAGTATGAGGGCCTATATCCAAGCTTAGCATTCATAAATGAATCATTCAGAAAATATTTGGCTTTCAACACTTTATGAAAGAAGGAAATTGGTTTCATGGTGAATTCGCCAAGCTTGTTTGGCTAGCATCGCCAAATTGAAAGTTCTAAAGTTGCAAAAACCCATACCACCTTTAGCTTTGTTTTTACATATTTCTGCCCACTTCACCTAGTGAATTTTCTTTTCCTCATCTTTTTGTTCCCACCAAAAATTAGATGCCAAGGATTCGAGCTCGTTGCAAAGATAATTTGGGAGTTTGAAACACCCCATTGCATAGGTCGGGATAGATTGGACTATACTTTAATGAGGACTTCCTTCCCTGCCTTAGACAATAATTGTTCCTTCCACCCTTGAAACTTCTTCCATACTCGTTCTCTTATACTTACAAATACCTATTTCTTGGATTTGCCTACAACCAATTGCAAACCAAGATATTTCTCTTGTTGTTGGACTCTTAGAATCCCTAGTATCGATCTTACTTCTTTAGCCCTGACATCTAGGACATTTCTGTTGCATACCATGGCTGATTTGTCATTGTTAACTTGCTATCTTGAAGCTACTTCATATAAATATAACAAATCTTTGACAGCTAGTGCTTCCGATATTGAGGCCTTAAAAAAAAACAAGTTGTCATCTGTAAAGAAGAGGTGAGATATTATGGGACAGCCTCTTTCAACCGTAATATCATAAATCAAATTTTTACTTTCAACATCCTTTAATAATGCTGACAATCCTTTTGCACATATGAGAAAAATGTAAGATAATAAGGGGTGTCCTTGACGGATACCCTTTTAGGTACAAAATAACCCATTTGATCCCCATTTAAAATCAAGGAGTATGACACAGACTTAACACACTGCATAATTAGATAAATCCAGTGTGGATTAAATCCTAGGGCACCCATCATTCTTTCTAAGAAAACCCACTCAACTTGATCATAGGCATTACTCATATCTAACTTTTAGGAAACATGACCCTCTTTTACCCAATTTTTACACTTGGGATAATAATTGATTTCAAAAGCCACTAAAACATTATACGTGATCAATCGGCCTGGGACAAAGGCACTCTGATTTTTTGACAATATCAACGGAAGGGCCATTTTAAACTTGTTAGCTAAAACCTTTGATTTGATTTTATACAAGATGTTACAAAGGCTAATAGGTCTAAAATGGGTCATG